AATATTTTTAAAATGGAATATGATCTTTAGAGAAAATAATTTGATAATCTGAAATTAAATTATATATTATTTATATTTATGTTTTTGTCAGTTATTAAAGTTCCATACTAATATAAATGATTTTATATTTCATTATGAAACTGGAAAAGATCAAAGAAATTTGAAGATATTTATAATTATGAAATCCAAAATAAATAAATCTAAATTCCAAAGACATTAAAATAATTTGGGTTGTGCTTTGCAAAATCACATCAAATGTACAATTTGGAAAAAAAATATACTTTGATAAAAGTTAAAATAAGTTAAATGTTTTTTCTAAAAATAATAACTAATGTATCTAATTAACTAAATTTAGCAGAAAATATATATTGTTTAATTTAGTAATAATATGAACAGGATATTTGTAATTTTTCAGAGTGTCGTTTATATAAAATATTGGCAATCAATCATGGTCTCATTAAAGTAGGAAATCAGTTATTTTAACGGTACTTAGGTATATGGTGGTATATTGTATATCTTGCATAATATAATATTGGCCAGATAATAAAATCAAAGCGGTAGATCACATCACCAAAATCGTAGTTTCAAATTCATTCTCAAACAGAAATTTACTTATATTAGAATATGGTAAAAACTATTATTCAATGTTGAGTAAAAATGCAGTTTAATACCTGAGGTTATTAGAGTAGCCTGATTACTTAGAGAAAATAAAATCTCGGCAGGATTCCAAAAATTTACATACATATTTTTTTCACCGTATCAATTTCACCGACTACTGACATCTGCCTTCTTTCCAAATTCCTTGAAAAATATAATAACTACAATAAAAAGTACATAATAACTACAATAAAATATGTAATTGCAATAATATATAACTTCAATAGTCTATACAACTGCAATAAAGAATATATGAAATTTTTAAACCCTGTTCTCTTATTAATACATTTATCTTTTATTTTGAAATTTGTTTTATTCCGTTTTGTCATATTCCATTCTCAATTTCAATTGAAATTTGCAATTTTGTGTTCTAACGTTAGGTAACTGGTCATTATGTTCAAATATTTAATTTGCTGTTTAGTTAAATTCAGTGTATTCTTGATAGAAGTGGTAATTAGCGACACTTACTGCCGAGTCATTCGCCTTAGGCTCAAATCGCAGTAAAGACATGGATCCTAAAATTAATAAAGAAACAACCTTGTATTTGGCGAAGATTTAGACAAAACGTTCAGCCGATTTCGAGGGCAAATAGATAACTCTTTGTCAGGAGAAAGGAAATTTGTCAGACTGGAAAGCAGTTTCTTCTGATCTGAATGGCATGGAAGTTTTTAAACTTATATTGCTTTTACTACATAAGGGCACATAAACTATCGTCTATTTGAGAGTTCTTTCTGAAGATTGATGGCACAGAAAGAGGGTTAGGAACAGCTTTAGTATAGCCCACCTTCAAAGTTTGGCGAATTTGGTTTGGCGCCAAAGCACATGAAATACGTTGTTTTGAAAAATGGTTGCCAACCAGATTCGACGAAACTCCGTGTCTCAAAAAATGGCGGCCATCTTGATTTCACCAGAAATCGTGGATAATAGAAATAAGTTTACGACTATTATACACGATTTTAAGAGAAGGAAATATTAAGAAATGATTAATAAAAATGATTAAGGTTAAAAGGATGTAATTTTAAAAACAATACCGGAAACCTTTAGCTATTTCACCTTTAATAAATAATTTGGTGTGACGTCACAATGTATTCTCCATGCTACGCGTAATTTCTATTTTCTCTTTAAAAAAAATAATGAATTGTTTATTATTGTAAATTAACATCAAATTCTTTAAATTTACATTTCTGAGCTTAGGCGTAACTGAAAATAAGTATAATAAATTGTTTATATTTAAAATTATCATGATGCAGTAAGCGAATTCTACCGGTTATTACAACGATAAAGAACGTCGTAGTCTCTCATACTTGTATTTCATACAGCTTCAGTATTTTCAAATATTTTTAAGCTTTAGCATTTATACAAATAAAAAAAAGGTTTTTTTAAATTAATACTCTGGAACATATCAATTTTATCATATTTACAAATTAACGTTTTGCTGCGTAACAACATATTCCCTTATATACCAGTAAGCAGACAATTTTCATTATTTTCTAAAAATTTTAAACTTCACATTAATGAAAAACAGGTTCTGAAATTCCTAAATCACATTATATTCTCTGTAGGCAGGCATACTAGAATTCTACACATAAATAAATAAAAAATTTAATTTCTCGCAATCAAAGAAAATATTATAAGAAAATAAATACTACAAATTCGGAACACTAAGCAATGCTTCACATACACACACACATACAGTGTCTCACAAAAGTGATGGGACACTTGTGCTTTACAAGAGGAAACTGTAGTAAAATAAATTAAAAAAAACATGTAAAAATTTTTTGTGGGTGTGTTTCATACTTAAATTTAGTAACAATTATTACATAACATACATTTTCTCAAATATTAATTTAATAAAAGTACAATTGTTTAGAACGGAGCAAAAAATGGCTCACATAAGTGATGGGACACTTACTTTTCCATCAAATATTTATCCAAAAATTTTACTTTATAAAAGGTTTTAATAATTTGTTGGATTTCCTTTTACTTTTAAAACATGATTTAATCTTTTTGCGATGGATTCGACTAATTTTTTTGCGATTTCTGGAGTGATTTTACCCTATTCTTCTTGAAGCACTGATTTTAATTGTTGTTTTGAAGAAATGGTGTGTTCGCGAAATTCTTCTCTGGGTTTTATCCACACCAAGATTCTACCGTCAGAATCAAATATATTAAATTTACTCTCATCAGCAAATATAACTTCATTCCAGTAATCAGAATTCTTATTTATGTTGGATTTTGCGAAAGCCAGTCTGAGGTTGTCTATTCTTTTCACTCACGAAGAATTTTTTCCTGGCTGCTCTACCGTGATATCCAGCAGATCAAATTACTCTTCCATATAGTCTCAGGATTAACAACTTACTCCATATAATGCTTGTAAATCAGCAGCAATTTTAGGAGCCCTCATTCTTGGATTTTTTTTTTTTTTAAATATTTCGAACGATAATTCGCTTTATTCCTTTGGATAGCTTTGAATTTGTCGCGAGGTTTTGCTCCTCAGCCTGAATCATATGATCAAGTTTTAATTCTCGCCGCGTTGGTTGAAATTCCATTTATGTTGCACTGAATTATCCTATGTAGACGAGCTTTGGGAGACCGTAATTGCTTTTTCCGGACGAGACCTCTTCCTAAACCTCGAATACGCCCCTTTTGAACCTGCGCGATGGCTGAGGCAGTATGAACATTAGTAGGCGGCATAACTCATAGACGGAGGACTAAAGGAGCCTCTCTTAGCCCAAAGACCTGAGCACCAGATCCAGAGGACTGACTTAGCTCCTTTGCCTGTAGGTGTTTAGCTGGATATAGTCGAATGACCTTCACGCCTTGGGTGACCCTACCAGGAGAATACTCTCCAAACGTATTTCACCCATTCTACCCAGTGACACCCCCTCACCACGATGAGGCAACCTACAGGATTAATAGGGGATTGTATCTTATTACATTGTTTTAATAACTCCGCCTATCTGAAACCCATTTTGCCTTAGATATTGATGTTTAAAACATTTTTAACTGAAACTAAAACATTTTATATTTTTTTAAATAGTAATAACTTCTCAAACTCAATTTAACGAAATATATGTATTACTACTCATAACTCTTTATAGTTTAGGTTTAGTATTATTTAGATTATAGGAAGAATTCTAAGGCTATTTACCTACGAGAAAGGATATCTCCGCGAAAATTCTTTAAGACAAAATAGGTTATACATGGGAAAAAACACGAAAACCCACATGCAGCCAGCTCCTTTGAGGGGATTTGGACCCGAAGCGGACAATTAAGATTTTAGCAGGTTTTAAGCTCGGCCGCTGTTAAGTGCTTTTAAATCACAATCAATAAACATTCAGAAAAAAAGAGCAATAATATATGTGCTCAACCTGAAGGATTCCTAGATAAAGTAAAATACAAATTACCTAGTCAATACGTACTTTTTGGCGCTTCTAAGCTTAAATAACAAAAGAATTATTCAATTAAAATTGTTTCGTTTCTTAGTTAAAAAAACTATTTCATAGTTTTGTATATGACTAAAAATTTGTAATACAAGATTTCCCTGCCCCATTTTATATCATATTTCTTCATGTAAAATTTATTTATATATTTTTATTTTTGCAAAATAAGAATTCTGGGTCTTGAAGATATGTCAAACATGGTAAATTGAATATCTTGTACGAATTCCGTGTCCTTAGCCGTAAAATTATTCAAATTACATGAATTTTTATGTTTGTATCGTTAAATTTCAAAGAGTATAGAAATGAAGTTGCAAATTTTCAAATATGGCAATATTATAATTAAAAAGTAATTTTACTTCGTTACTAAAGAGGCCCTTTACTTAGTCGCCAAAACTGAGAAACTTTATTAGTCTAATATAAAGCGGGCAAATTTTACATAACGCCAAAAACTTTCCAAAGGCCGCTTTAGCATAGTACTTGAATGCTTCAAACACTAATAGGAATCCCCATCTTTTTCAAGGATTTCACTTTCAAATGTGACTTACCACAGTGCAGAGTTTTTTAATTATGATAATACTTCTGCCGACATCAAACATTGAACGTTAAATATAATAATAGTTTAAAAATAATTTTTTAATTTAATACTTCTCGTAGTTTAAAATATTTTCTTGTTTGATAAAACAGAAACTCGTGTTTTAAATATTATCTAATACGTATTCATTGTTAAGCCTTGCACTAAGCACGTATTTCGTCCTCGAGATCGCTGTCGCAGTCGTTCAAAATTTTTGCACCATTTTAATCGCCGATTTCAAACTGTTCCCCGAATTTTCTCTCAGTACATCAACGTTTTAATTAATGCCTTCAATAACCTAAAATAAACCCTACTTCCTTGTTTAAATGATGAATACGAGTAAAAACGATGTTCAATCCCTTAAAGAAGCCAAAGGATTCTCAGGAATGGGTGCGAAGAACAATGCCCAACCTCAAACAGGACTTAGACGTCTGCTTCTGAATGCCATTCGCAAACTTCAAGGCAGAAAAGGTGTCACACTTCGGGATGTCAAGACCTACTTGAATAACAATCAAAAAATGGATGTTAAATCCAATGAGGCTGAAATTAAATTATTCATGAAGAGTGCTGTAGATCGTGGCATTTTGTCGAAGCTGGATGGACATTACAAAGTTATGGAGAGAGGAAGACGTCGTAGAAGTTCCAGCAGAAGAAGGCGAGGCAAATCGGCAGGGGCTCCAAAAAGTCGCAGGCGAAGGAGGAGGAGTTCATCGCCTAAAAAGGGAAGGTCTCGTCGAAGAAGATCTTCTGGGCGCAGGAAATCAGGAAGGAGTTCTAGACGTCGTCGCCGTAAGGCCGCTCCTGCTGATGAAGCCTGAAATCAACTTCTGTTTGCAGGAAAGTTGAAAACTGAGGGAAAATTCTAGATACAAAATTGATGTATTTTCCAAATGTTGTCCTTCTTCCTTTTTCCTTCCTGAAACTGTTCGGTGTAAATAAATTTAAACTTAACTATAACTTTTCTGAAAATAATAGCACCTCATAGATTTTGTAAATATCAGTATTTTTAAAATGGAATATGATCTTTAGAGAAAATAATTTTTAAAAAAAATCTGAAAATTAAATTAATATGCATTATTTATCTTTATGTTTTTGTCAGTTATTTAAAGTTCCCATACTAATATAAATGATTTTATATTTCATTATGAAACTGGAAAAGATCAAAGAAATTTGAAGATATTTATAATTATGAATCCAAAATAAATAAATCCTAATTCCCCAAAGACATTAAATAATTTGGGTTGTGCTTTCGTAAAATCACATCAAATGTATGCAATTTGGAAAAAAATATACTTTGATAAAAGTTAAAATAAGTTAAATGTTTTTTCTAAAAATAATAACTAATGTATCTAATTAACTAAATTTAGCAGAAAATATATATTGTTTAATTTAGTAATAATATGAACAGGATATTTGTAATTTTTCAGAGTGTCGTTTATATAAAAATATTGGCAATCAATCATGGTCTCATTAAAGTAGGAAATCAGTTATTTTAACGGTACTTAGGTATATGGTGGTATATTGTATATCTTGCATAATATAATATTGGCCAGATAATAAAATCAAAGCGGTAGATCACATCACCAAAATCGTAGTTTCAAATTCATTCTCAAACAGAAATTTACTTATATATTAGAATATGGTAAAAACTATTATTCAATGTTGAGTAAAAATGCAGTTTAATACCTGAGGTTATTAGAGTAGCCTGATTACTTAGAGAAAATAAAATCTCGGCAGGATTCCAAAAATTTACATACATATTTTTTTCACCGTATCAATTTCACCGACTACTGACATCTGCCTTCTTTCCAAATTCCTTGAAAAATATAATAACTACAATAAAAAGTACATAATAACTACAATAAAATGTAATTGCAATAATATATAACTTCAATAGTCTATACAACTGCAATAAAGAATATATGAAATTTTTAAACCCTGTTCTCTTATTAATACATTTATCTTTTATTTTGAAATTTGTTTTATTCCGTTTTGTCATATTCCATTCTCAATTTCAATTGAAATTTGCAATTTTGTGTTCTAACGTTAGGTAACTGGTCATTATGTTCAAATATTTAATTTGCTGTTTAGTTAAATTCAGTGTATTCTTGATAGAAGTGGTAATTAGCGACACTTACTGCCGAGTCATTCGCCTTAGGCTCAAATCGCAGTAAAGACATGGATCCTAAAATTAATAAAGAAACAACCTTGTATTTGGCGAAGATTTAGACAAAACGTTCAGCCGATTTCGAGGGCAAATAGATAACTCTTTGTCAGGAGAAAGGAAATTTGTCAGACTGGAAAGCAGTTTCTTCTGATCTGAATGGCATGGAAGTTTTTAAACTTATATTGCTTTTACTACATAAGGGCATAAACTATCGTCTATTTGAGAGTTCTTTCTGAAGATTGATGGCACAGAAAGAGGGTTAGGAACAGCTTTAGTATAGCCCACCTTCAAAGTTTGGCGAATTTGGTTTGGCGCCAAAGCACATGAAATACGTTGTTTTGAAAAATGGTTGCCAACCAGATTTTCGACGAAACTCCGTGTCTCAAAAAATGGCGGCCATCTTGATTTCACCAGAAATCGTGGATAATAGAAATAAGTTTACGACTATTATACACGATTTTAAGAGAAGGAAATATTAAGAAATGATTAATAAAAATGATTAAGGTTAAAAGGATGTAATTTTAAAAACAATACCGGAAACCTTTAGCTATTTCACCTTTAATAAATAATTTGGTGTGACGTCACAATGTATTCTCCATGCTACGCGTAATTTCTATTTTCTCTTTAAAAAAAAATAATGAATTGTTTATTATTGTAAATTAACATCAAATTCTTTAAATTTACATTTCTGAGCTTAGGCGTAACTGAAAATAAGTATAATAAATTGTTTATATTTAAAATTATCATGATACAGTAAGCGAATTCTACCAGTTATTACAACGATAAAGAACGTCTCAGTCTCTCATACTTGTATTTCATACAGCTTCAGTATTTTCAAATATTTTAAGCTTTAGCATTTATACAAATAAAAAACGTTTTTCTGAATTAATACTCTGGAACATATCAATTTTATCATATTTACAAATTAACGTTTTGCTACGTAACAACATAATCCCTTATATACCAGTAAGTAGACAATTTTCATTATTTTCTAAAAATTTTAAACTTCACATTAATGAAAAACAGGTTCTTAAATTCCTAAATCACATTATATTCTCTGTAGGCAGGCATACTAGAATTCTACACATAAATAAATAAAAAATTTAATTTCTCGCAATGAAAGAAAATATTATAAGAAAATAAATACTACAAATTAGGAACACTAAGCAATGCTTCACATACACACACACATACAGTGTCTCACAAAAGTGATGGGACACTTGTGCTTTACAAAAGGAAACTGTAGTAAAATAAATTAAAAAAAACATGTAAAAATTTTTTGTGGGTGTGTTTCATACTTAAATTTAGTAACAATTATTACATAACATACATTTTCTCAAAATATTTTTAATAAAAATACAATTGTTTAGAACGGAGCAAAAAATGGCTCACATAAGTGATGGGACACTTACTTTTCCATCAAATATTTATCCAAAAATTTTACTTTATAAAAGGTTTTAATATTTTGTTGGATTTCCTTTTACTTTTAAAACATGATTTAATCTTCTTGGGATGGATTCGACTAATTTTTTTGCGATTTCTGGAGTGATTTTACCCCATTCTTCTTGAAGCACCGATTTTAATTGTTGTTTTGAAGAAATGGTGTGTTTGCGAAATTCTTCCTTTGGGTTTTATCCACACCAAGATTCTACCGTCAGAATCAAATATATTAAATTTACTCTCATCAGCAAATATAACTTCATTCCAGTAATCAGAATTCTTATTTATGTTGGATTTTGCGAAAGCCAGTCTGAGGTTTCTATTCTTTTCACTCACGAAGAATTTTTTCCTGGCTGCTCTACCGTGATATCCAGCAGATCGAATTACTCTTCCAATAGTCTCAGGATTAACAATTACTCCATATAATGCTTGTAAATCAGCAGCAACTTTGGGAGCACTCATTCTTGGATTTTTTTTTTTTAAATATTTCGAACGATAATTCGCTTTATTCCATTGGATAGCTTTAATTTGTGCTTTTTGCTCCTCAGCCTGGATCTGATCAAGTTTAATTCTCGCCGCGTTGGTTGAAATTCCATTTATGTTGCACTGTATTATCCTATGTAGACGAGCTTTGGGAGACCGTAATTGCTTTTTCCGGACGAGACCTCTTCCTAAACCTCGAATACGCCCCTTTTGAACCTGCGCGATGGCTGAGGCAGTATGAACATTAGTAGGCGGCATAACTCATAGACGGAGGACTAAAGGAGCCTCTCTTAGCCCAAAGACCTGAGCACCAGATCCAGAGGACTGACTTAGCTCCTTTGCCTGTAGGTGTTTAGCTGGATATAGTCGAATGACCTTCACGCCTTGGGTGACCCTACCAGGAGAATACTCTCCAAACGTATTTCACCCCATTCTACCCAGTGACACCCCCTCACCACGATGAGGCAACCTACAGGATTAATAGGGGATTGTATCTTATTACATTGTTTTAATAACTCCGCCTATCTGAAACCCATTTTGCCTTAGATATTGATGTTTTAAAACATTTTTAACTGAAACTAAAACATTTTATATTTTTTTAAATAGTAATAACTTCTCAAACTCAATTAACGAAATATATGTATTACTACTCATAACTCTTTATTAGTTTAGGTTTAGTATATTTAGATTATAGGAAGAATTCTAAGGCTATTACCTACGAGAAAGGATATCTCCGCGAAAATTCTTTAAGACAAAATAGGTTATACATGGGAAAAAACACGAAACCCACATGCAGCCAGCTCCTTTGAGGGGATTTGGACCCGAAGCGGACAATTAAGATTTTAGCAGGTTTAAGCTCGGCCGCTGTTAAGTGCTTTTAAATCACAATCAATAAACATTCAGAAAAAAGAGCAATAATATATGTGCTCAACCTGAAGGATTTCCTAGATAAAAGTAAAATACAAATTACCTAGTCAATACGTACTTTTGGCGCTTCTAAGCTTAAATAACAAAAGAATTATTCAATTAAAATTGTTTCGTTTCTTAGTTAAAAAAAACTATTTCATAGTTTTGTATATGACTAAAAATTTGTAATACAAGATTTCCCTGCCCCATTTTATATCATATTTCTTCATGTAAAATTTATTTATATATTTTTTTTTTTTTTTTGCAAAATAAGAATTCTGGGTCTTGAAGATATGTCAAACATGGTAAATTGAATATCTTGTACGAATTCCGTGTCCTTAGCCGTAAATTTATTCAAATTACATGAATTTTTATGTTTGTATCGTTAAATTCAAAGAGTATAGAAATGAAGTTGCAAATTTTCAAATATGGCAATATTATAATTAAAAAGTAATTTTACTTCGTTACTAAAGAGGCCCTTTACTTAGTCGCCAAAACTGAGAACTTTATGTCTAAGATAAAGCGGGCAATTTTACATAACGCCAAAAACTTTCCAAAGGCCGCTTTAGCATAGTACTGAATGCTTCAAACACTAATAGGAATCCCCTCTTTTTCAAGGATTTCACTTTAAATGTGACTTACCACAGTGCAGAGTTTTTTAATTATGATAATACTTCTGCCGACATCAAACATTGAACGTTAAATATAATAGTTTAAAAATAATTTTTTAATTTAATACTTCTCGTAGTTTAAAATATTTTCTTGTTTGATAAAACAGAAACTCGTGTTTTAAAATATTATCTAATACGTATTCATTGTTAA